TAAGTCTATTGCTGATCACTGTGGTGCTTAAATTGGTACCTCCCAAAGCTCATAAACAGCTTCTATTTAACCAAATTTTGCTATACAATCTGAAATGACATAATTTGTTGCATACAGCAGTGCAAGGTCAAGTGATTTTTTGCAAAGTACAAAAGTACTAATATATTAACACTCTCATTTAGTTTTCACAGTAATTTTAATTTTTTGTACAAAATGCTAGTCTGTATAGATTGTGAGAAGTAAAGATATGTTTGACACAAATTTTTCATTTAAGTTTTTCGCATGTCAATATATAAAACAACATATTTAACTGGTAAATCTAATATGTCCCAACATTCTGTATCCCTCACCCTGCCCTGTGTCTCTCCCACATCTTTAAAACAGTTGTGTCATCCTGCCCCATCACTCCCCAACTTTAATTTTGCCTCCACTACCCATTTTTGTCTAACTTCTAGTTGTTCCTTAATGATGTCCCCCAAAAACATTCACGTGTCTCTCCAACACTCTCATGTCATACTCTGCACATACCTGTATGTTTGACTTATAACTTCACTCTACCCAGTCTCCATTGCTGCTCTAGTGATGGGTGCGATGGGATGAAAGAAAGGGCACTATGTGACATCTCCCCGCTAGGCTACACTACTTTCATGGAACCCCATTCCTGCTGTCATGTTAGGTGGTCTGCCTCACCCGCACCCACCCACCACTGCCTGAAGGGAAGTGGTAATGATACCAGGCAAAATAAACATCCATGTTTGAGAGCTGAGTTCAGAATCGCGTTGATAACATAAAGGACACATCACAAGTAAATAAAGAACATGGATTTATTTTGCTACATGCAACAACATAGGGGGAGGGAAATTAAACCTAAATTAATCTTATATCGACTGTTGGATTTACTCACAAACTTAAATACAGCATATAGTGCAGATACATTCACGCAGAGGTGAGAAACCACAGAACTCACAGAAATTATTTGCTGGAATTGTAATTGTACCAATATAAGGCCTTTTTTGGTAAAAATAGGCGAGTCTGTAGAGTTTTACAATGCTTGTGAAAGATGTTTCCATTTTATGTGGTAAGGTCGGGAAAAGGAACGATGTGCGTTATTATGCATGTGTTATGTTGAACAAAGTTGCGTGTAAAACTCTTGATTACAAGTTCATATCTTGCGAGCAGTAATGAACCATTTGGATTGATTTTTATATTTTGAAAGTTGAAAACAATTTGTGGATATTATGAGGGTCTCATGCTTCTTCAGTCCTGCATGCATGAAACCCACCACTGAGTTAGAGACAAAATGGTGGTGAAGACATGACACTGTTACCATGGTTACTAGTGAAGAGTCTTAAGCACTGCATGAAATGCAGTTTCATTAAGGATCGATTAAATCACATATTGCTATTATTATTAAACTAACTAATTTTACTGCATAAATACATTAGTAATCTAAAATAAACAACATTTACCTTTAAGTTTGGTGTGTTTTTGCCTCCTCCAGGGACTGTCCTTTTAATAGATTTGTTATTATTAATGATGCTATCCAGGTAGCTTTTAATTCTTACATTTTCCACTTTCTGTTACTTGACATGTGACTGACTGTGACCTTGCAAGTACGGGGTAAATGAAATGCGTTTATTTATAAGATATCTTTAGCATTTGTTCAACCCTATCCACATGACAGAGAAAAGCAGGCTCAAACGATTACCCAGAGCAGCTGCTTGGAAGAAGTTCTATTTTTTACTGATGATGGCAATTATAAGTTCTGGATATTGTAAACGCACTGTACCACAAAACATAAAGCATACCTTGGGATGATGTCATGTCTAGACAGGAGATTCAGGTAGAACATTACTTGTTTAGAGGATAGATAGAACTGTAGCACACTAATGCTCAAGCGCTTGCATTTTTAGAAAAAGCTCAGCATATTGTTTAGCTTGTTAACCGAAAATCTTGACTTTAGTAAGATTTCTATAATGTGTCAATGAGTGTTATATTTTTCTGGTGTTATTTATTTTTTTCATTCTCTTTTTTTATTGCGGTGCAGGCAGGATACAAGAAATATGCAGTAACATCATACATTAGATTGCACATAAATTAGAGACAGGAGTACTATAAACATGTATCCATGAAAGACAACATTTAAAAAAAAAGAGTTAAACTCGTTTGGTTTAGAACTAGGTAAGTTCAAATTAAATAAAAATTAGCTGAGTATGGTAGCCTGATTTTTGTTTTAAAAAAAGTCAGAGTTATCAACTAGCCTGACAATCTAGTCTAGACATGAAGTGGTATTGTGCTATTTAGATAATCAAGATAATCAAAACATATCTATTATAGTAGTAGAGCAAACTAATGTACGTACACTATGGGTATAATGTTTTACAGGTAGCACATGGTCATTCGAGTTATATCTGCTTGAACAAACATCATTAATTAACAAATAGCAGCAATATGCGTGCTGTAGTAAGAAATACCACTGTGACTGGGCCTCAGATCGCTATAACATTTTTGGTTAGATGATAGCAAAATAATAAGAAAAGACAACATGTCAAGATCAAAGAAAAACATCAGTGCATAGATCTGGATATCACAAGCGATAGGCTCATGAACAGCTTATAAACAGCTTGGGTGCCCCTTCATCCGATACCCGACATAGGGAGGCTCCAGGAACATGCCGGAGATAAGCAGTAGGCAGCCGCAGGACATGGTTAAAACAGAGCATCCCATCCATTCCAGGCTGATGGGAAGGCCAGCATCTGTAGGCCACAGACTGGGGTTCTCTCAGAGTCCAAGTCTCTCCCGGATAAACGGGTGCAAGAGGTCCTGATGGTAGATCGCCGCTTGCAGCGGTTGGACCTCCGATGGTTTGGGAGATGCACTGGGGCAGTGCCCCGGATTGGGCTAGCAAGGGGAATGATTGTTGAGTGCTCAGGTGCTCCCTTGATCTGCATCCAGGGGGTCAGATGGAGCAGCAGCCGCCACGCCGCCATAGTAGAGCAGAAACACTCAAATATTGCATCCAGCTGTTCGAGAGAGCGTGCAATGGCATCTAACGTAACAGCTTGTTACAGCTGCATCTCACCCGTGGTCGGTAATTGAGATGTTAGAAGTTGTGGAGCCAAGCCTTGGCCTCATCTGTCAGAAGAGCGAGCCGCTATCTTAAGTGGTGTGTTAAGTGCCTGAGATGAGCAGAGATTGCAGCTCTGAGGCGCAACTTAGTGCTGCTGAAGTTACTGAGGTTCGTCCAGTGGGGACCGGGATATCTCCCACCGGTCTGGGGGGGGGAGTAGGAGAACAGGAGTGCAACTACTCTGTGCCGGAGGATAGAGAGCACGGTATCCCTGGCTTTTCTGGTATTTTAACACCAAAATAAACTCAAAACATCAGTACTTCATTCATTGAGGATGGTCATTCTGGAAAATAATTATCAAAGGGTTTACTCACTGTGAGCTGTGGTGAGCTAACCAAATAGTAATATTTACAAAACTGTAGACCAAAATGTCAAAATTGACTCAACTTATTTTTGTCAACATTTTGCAAGTTGTCAGGTCACCAAAATCCACTTTCTTTCCAAACCAGGTACTTTAGAACCTAACAAGAAAATAAAACCAGTTTACCTATACAATGATTGGGTACAAAAAGTTTCCGTTTTGGCTACTTTGACGTTACATTTTCAATTTCTTGGTCTATTACCCACAATCCCTAGATGCAAAAGTAATGCCAGTGGGCATAGGAACCAGATATTGGAGACCACATCTCAATTTCCACAGTTACATGTACAATACGAGGCACACAGGGTGGGGGGAAGGTGCAGTGGGAGACAGAGGAAAACAGGTTGGGATAGAAATATAAGGAGACAGGTTGGTGTGAGATGGGGAGATAGAGGAGTTGTGGAGGGAATGAAATAACTGAGAGAGACACAAATGTGGGGATTGGTGGAAGACACATTTTAGACAGCAATGAGGGAATAGGATAATTATGCAACAAGTGAAGGGAGGGGAACGTGAAAGAGACAAGTAGTAATGTGGGGACAGAGAGAGCTTTGTGGGGAATAACAAGACGGGGGGTGACACAAGCTAACATACATCCACCTACACTACATGCATGCACTCACACATTGTGCAAATGACAAGTATATCAAAAATACAAATAAACAAAATATTTTGTGAAGCTCCTTTTATAATCCGTAGAAAATGATATTGAACATTTATATATCAACGCCACTTCTATCTTGACATATGGTGATACTAGCCCTTATGCCTAATGTGCAACACAACGTGGATAAATAGTGCAATAAAAAAAATAGTAATAATATGCAATCAACAAAATATCGGGGAGATATCAGAATGCCCTTTCTAAATAGCATCAACACAAATGTACAAAATAATGAAATTATATTTGTTGTGACTGTCCTTGCAGGTTTCACAATCTGTACAGCTAATACATCTTGTACATATTTCTTTAAAAAACCTCTTATCTCGTATTAGGAACTCTACAAATAGTTTAGCAATGCACAACATCAAAGATCTGGTTAGAAAAAGATGGCTAAAACTTAAAACAAACTTCTCCAAGTTGCTAATCACTGTTTTCATAGTTATATCACATATTGTCACACATCATATTCTGCAAATGTACAAGGTGAAAAAAGAACACTTAAAGAATGTAAAAACTTTTCTTTACAAAAAAAAATGATTGAAAAACTGGTGATTATTTAATTCCCCAACAGGGGACAAATTACAAAAATGGGTGGGCGGGGCCAGGCCGTAGAGCTGAGAGGCAGCAGAACACTATGCCTCCTGGCCTGAGCCTGGAAAAACTGCTAAAACTCAGCACACAGACTGCCCCAATACAGAAATGGCCGACACATATTTAACAAGTAGCACCCAAGCTCCATGGAGATCCCAAACAGGGGCGGATACCGAATCGGGAACACTGCAAATACAAAAGCGGTCGCCTGAATGGGCAAAGGCTACCAAAATGGAGCCCATCTGAAGACTTACCTCAGACAGGGAGGCACCGGGGGGACTGACATGGGTGGCTCACACTGGCCCTGGCAGAGCCGAGCACTAGATGGCTCCCCCGTGCTGTTTCCCTGACCGCTGGAGAAGTGGGTACCCAGGCCTCTGGGTCCGGGAGGTCCCCGGAGAGCCCTGTCCCCGATGCCGTGAGCCCGGTGGGGCGGGACTGTGCCACCCTCCCGACGGACCGGTGGTCGTGGGGCACCGGCTCCAAACATGTGGCCGGCACCGGGGCGAGACACAGGAGTGCACACTTCAGGAGACCCACGTGGAGCTGGGGAGGTGCAGGGAGCAGACGACCAGAGGACTTTTGTGGTGGGGTCCAACAGACAGCTCATGTTCCTGAGTGCTCACAGCACTGCGGGGGCCCGACCTGTGAGTGGAGATCGGCATGGGGAAGATGGAAGGAGGCCTGGCGACTCAGAGACAGTGTGGTAGCAGTGCCATGGGAGACTCCCCCCAGATGGCTAAGCGGACTGACAAGGCCACCCTGCCATTTTATAGTCCACATTTTTTTATTTACATGCTTGCATTTACTTTTTAAGCAGTTAGCATAAATATGCATGTCCTTCAAAAATTCAGGGAACCTTAGATTGCCCAGTTAAGCATGTACAAAAAATGTTAATATATACAGTATTCCTTGGTTCATATGTACATAGGTGGTGCCCAGCTCCTCTGGTAATAAGTGACAAATGTATGCAGATTTAAACATTGAGCTCCCTGGATCCAAGCATGCTTGGACTTACCACTGAAACTTGCCAGATGTCTACAAATATAGGCATTGCAATGTGTTAGTGACCTGGGGGATCGATCAACTTATCCTACCGTATACTACAGCCTTTGTCTTCATTTTACCCCATCTATTTTTTTTTTAAATTGCAGTTTAATTGCTACCTCTTCCTCTTTACACTGCTATCTTTGATGACTAACATGAAAATGCCAATATTCTTGTACTGTACAGGGCATTAAAAAAATCAAGTAGAAATGAAACAAACAGTATAACTTTTTTTTTAGTTTGACAAATTCTCTTAAAATATACAGTCTGTCCTCACATCTGTTATTTCCATCATTATTCTGTGATAGAGGAACTCATCAGCAGGTTTTACACTTGTGTCCCTTCATGATGGTTAATCTACTGTTACATTGTGTTGAAATACTTGTCTATTAAAGAGTAACTGTGCAGCGGGGCCGCCGGGCAAACACTCAGTGAGTAAAACTTCAGTGTAACATCCTTAATCCCATCCCTAGTATTCTGGCTACTACACCTCATTTGTTTTATATTATCCAATAATCTGTACCATTGCTCCGTTTTGAATAACTGCTCTGTAGAGAGAAATGGTGAACATTTACTGTATATTTATCTACAATCTCAATTGTCTTTTACTGTAACTTAAACTAAACTTAAAAGTCATAACATGCTAGTTATGTATAATTCGACATCTTGTTTATATACTTATGTAGCATTTGATCAGTTTTAAAGGGTCACTCTTTAATTAAACACTATTTTCAGCTAGGATATCCCTTGCTGGCATCTCTCTCTCCCCAAAAAATAAAAATAAAGAAATATAGCTAAAACGTATTATTGTTCCAGCGCCAAAGGCCAAGATCCCCCTGCAGCCTGAACCTCCTCTAGTTATGTTGCCTCTCTTTCACTTCCGGAGGTAGGGATGTCTTGGAGAACGAGCTGAGGTGAGGACTTTGGTGGTACCGGACATACAGATTTTATAAAAGGCAGCCCAGAACTCTTTCCGTGCAGGCAAATGACGCAGGCAGAGTTACACATCCTGCAGCAAAGGACTTTAACTCTCTATGTGCAGTGTTTCAAACTGAAACACTGCAAATACAGACTCCAAGCACCATAACTACTTCAAATTATGGAAGTGGCCATGGTGTCTGGAGTAACCGTTTAAGTATGACATATTAATATGCTATTATAAGGTGCCTAATTACAGAATCTTATTGACAAATAACACTAAACAGTCATACCTACCAAGCGTCATGTATCTGGTGGAGGTGGTGCTGGAGGGAAACTCACAGGATGCAGCTATAAGAAAACACATACCCTATGCTAATCTCTCGCTTTTATTTCTCAAGCAAATCAATATCTTAATCAATACCCCAATGGGTGGGCCACTGATGTTAATCACATATGCAGCACCGCCAAGAGGGGTGGAAGGTCAGCCTGGCTTTAATGCATGTCAGGCTGTCTGCTAATCATGAAGACGAGTTAACTAAGGACAGTGCGACAGTGCTTGGCACACATGCTAGTGATACGCTTACTCTATGCTTTTTTAGGGGCCTGCTTCCTAGCACTCACTTGTCCACTCCTCACCTTTTTACTAGCTGGCAGAAGCGGGTATGCAGTCTGGGAAAGAGAAAAGGTGAATGTAGAAGAAAGGGGATATGCCACAGTGTTAGAGAGACCTGTTGTGGATCCAAATAATGATCTTTGTTATATCGAGAGGAAGCCCAAATTATAATAACAAGTGCACTTGGAGAAGCGAGAATTAGACACCAGACACCTGTTGGTATTCAAAATAAGCCTCTGCCGTTTTATTCATCAGCTGGGTTTTTTTACATTACAAAGTAAGTGCTTACGTGCAAATACTCATAGAACAGTAGTAGGAAGGGAGAACAGATAAGACATAGTGATGAATGCCATGTACACATCCAAGGTAAGAAAGAACAAAAAGATTAGAGTAGAGACATCTCAGATGGGGGCTCTCTGCTCCCGGAACTAGACATATATGGTCTTAAGTTTTGTGTTAAGCATCAAGCATTTCCTTTCCTGAGTCCAAGTTAGCCAATTTTTAATATAGGATATCATTATATGACACCTATAAGCTTGAGCCTTGGAATCAAGATAAATTCTATCACAATCCCCTCTTTTGATCCACGGGTCACCCAAATGTCCAAGGTATTTCCAGGCCTGCTAGCCAAAGCCTGTGGGACTTTCATTTATTGCTTCACCATGGTTCCCTTGGACTGAGAGACCACCAGAATCAGCAGAGGAGAGTTCCTTAATTTGTTAGGCGAGGTAACATCATAAAACCCTTCCAAAGTCGGAGCTGGAATGTGAGTTAAGGTACGACCAACAGTAGGTTTGTTTTTACATAGACATGAGAAAAATCTAAAGGTTAGACAAATGGCCATAATAACAAATATAGCTAATAGCAAAAAGTACAAAATTTTCTTAATTAGTAAAGTCAATGGCTGCTCTGTTCTCAAGGATTACCTTCTTATTTGCCTGGTTCTCCATAATGAGCTCTTCTAGGGCCTGTGAAGTGGCATTTAAACCCTTTGCAAGGGAACAGGCTACAGCATTAATTACTCGGGTAGATATTTATGGGGTCTATGGGTATGTAGGTACTTCCTAAAGAGTGAGATGGGGGTAGGGACAGCTATAAGACAAGATTCTATGGCGTTTTCAGTACTGAGGAGAGGGTTGAGGCAAAAGGAGGTTAAATTAAAAGCCTTTGCTATCTGCAATTATATATTTCCCTTCTATGCATTATTATCTTCTGGTCTCAAGTCAGAGTAGCATATCTGAACAGAGCATACAATGGTAAAGGATAAGAACAGCTTCATGTCGGTGGATCAGTCGGAGTGACTTGTTTACAGTGACTGGCGTGTATCCACGTGACGTTTCCTTCTAGTTTCACTGAGGTAGCCGTAGTCAAGAGCACTTGGAATGGACCGTCAAAGCGTGGTTCAAGTCCTTTCCTCACATGTCTCTTTATCACTACCCAATCACCAGGCTGCAGTTTGTGAGTTGCAGAATCAGAGTCTGGATCTGGAATAGAATCAAAGACTTGTTTATGCACCCTGCCTAATCTTTGGTGTAGGGCCTGTACATAGGCAGTCATACTACCATGCTGCATCTGGAGGGTCTGGGAAAAATAGAGGCCTGTCTTTGGGGCACATCGTAACAGTATCTCAAAAGGGGATAGGCCATGTCTAGAACCGGGTCTGAATCTCATAGAAAAGAGTGCTAGGGGAAGGCATTCAGTCCAGGGCTTTACTGTGTCTTGCATGGCTTTTGCAATCTTGTTCTTTAAGGTGCCATTTGCCCTCTATACTTTCCCACTACTCTGGGGGTGATAGGGGTATGGAAGGCCTGACTGATCCCTAAGGCTTTCATAATTTCTTGCATTATTTCCCCAGTGAAATGGCTACCTCTGTCACTTTCAATCACTTCAGGTACTCCATATCTACATACCAGTTCCTTCAGAAACTTACTTGCTGTGACCTTCATTGTAGCTTTCGACACTGGGTAGGCCTCAGGCCAACCTGAAAAGAGATCAATGCACGCCAACACATATTCATACACTCCTACCTTAGGCAGTTGAATATAGTCTATTTGCAGTCTTTGAAACGGGTAAAGTGGCCTTGGTGTGCTTACTGTCAGGGTCTTACCTGGGTTGGGAGTCTGTAGTGCAGATATGTTGCACACCCTTGCAGATAGACATAGGCCAAGGTGGTCAGGTAAGAATTCACCTGACCTGTGGGTCTGTGCACGGGGGCTGTGCAGAATGAAGTTCCAAGTCACAGCTCAGGTAAGGACTCAAACAGCAGGATCGTCAAGGAATAGCCGAGGTCAAAGGATGCCAGAGGACAGGAACAACGGAGTAGCCGAAGTCAAGGGATGCCAGAGGTCAGAGTAAACGATGTCAGAAGCCGGGGTCAATATGAAGCAGAGTAACAATAGACAGGAACACTGGTACAGAACACACACAACAGGATCAAAGACTTGACCCAGTTCACAGGGCGAGGCTGAGTTTATATACCCTGCTGATAACTGATCAGGGTCAGGTGAAGCACAGCATTTTTCAAGGTACAGCCCCCACTGCTGCAGACAAGCCAGGAAGAACAGAACTGAAATATCTTGAAAATAAACAAAGCTGCTGTGGCTCAGAGGTAGGAAGCAGGACCAGGTCTGCGAAGTTCCTCAGTTCCAATCCCCTGTTGGGCACTCCAGGGACAACCACGTCTGTATGTCGCGGTGAGAACCGTGACACTTACTTGGTGTTTTGACAGCCTGTCCTGGATTGTTTCTAGCACAAATCCTGCAAGCTTGGGTGTGTTTAGCTGCTACAACAGTAAATCCGGGTGCTACCTAATGGGTGTTTACTATGCTGTTCATGTGCATCTTGTATAGATGTGTAGGTCCATGGGCAATCTGGGCAATCGTGGGGTACAATACTCGTGGCAAACACAG